GGTTTCAAGGCTTGCTAAAAACAACCTCTGTGATCAGCTGTACACATCTAGACACTGTTGTCTTTGGTGTCCCAGATGGTCCCAGCTGTTGGCATAAGCACTGACAATGACATTCATTCCTTTTGCACACAAGTCCTATGCAAGCTCAATTTTTCAGCTGCCTGCTGATGGGAAGTGAAATTCACACAGAGAAAAGCTGTCCTTAAGGCCCACAGGATCCCAAAGCTTGTGGAAAAAATGGGGAGGATTAGTTGTAGGATCACTTCCGGCTACTATCTAATTTTATCTGTGTGTCACTGATACCGAACGTCATTCTTTTTATTATAAGAACCCCTCGACAACCAGGGCTAAAAATAAAAAGCAAGAGCTCGTAGCTGGCACAAACTGTGCTACATGGACTCCAATTTGTATAGCAGGAACTATAATCACTCTGAGACGTGCCCAAGCCCTCAGGCATCCCACGGGATTTCAGTCACTTGTTTACAAGGTGTTTTGATTTGCAGCTGTTTGACTACAGTGGCATTTCAAGAGGAGGCGTTTTGAAAGGATGTTGTTACTGTGGATGCCGGGATTGGGAAATGGGTATTGAAAAATCACACAAGAAACAGGCGAGTGCTGTCTTTGTTCTTCCCCCCTGACATATGAATGACGTCAGTGCAGGGGAAAGGAGCTCCAGAACAGATCCAGAGACCAGTGCTCTGGAAGGAATAAGCAGGGTGCAGGTAAATCCCTGAAAACAGAGCTGTGCCCTAACCACACCAGAGTGCCCCACATCTGATTTAAGGGGACTAAGTTCTGGAGGTAGGAAGGGAAGCATCCAAGCCCATTGCTTTTCCACCTTTTCTAATAAGATTACAACACCTAAGAACTAGGCTAAAGGCCACTTCAAACAGACCAGCAGCTGAAATGGATTTAGTCACTGGCTCAAAGTGATTTAGCACTTCAGATGGCTCTCTCCATAATTCCTGCTCTCCTGACCTGAACAGTTCCTCTTTCAGAACTGCATTAAGCTAATGCCCACTTTCTTCTGGCCCTATTGGGATAATGGATTCAAATATGCAGAAAGAATGTAAAAATCCATCTGTTATCTGGGATGAGTGATTTGCACAATGGTGCCCATGAGTGTTTGTTTAACACTGCGGACAGCAGAACACTGCTAAGTGCTAACACACTGAGAAAGGGAAAGAAGGGAGGAGAAAGTAGCCTGGCTGTTTAAAAGCTATGTCCACCAATCTGTCTGCATTTTTTTGGCTTAGTTAGCTGTTTGCCTGTTTTTTGTGGGAAACCAGGAAGGACATGTGGAGCTTTTCCCAGGCTTTAGTGTTATTCTCTTGTTTCCAGCCTTGGATTTTGTATGCGTTAATTACAGCAACTCACGTAGAAAATCTAGTGCCAAGAGGATATTTACCTTGCAAACATTTCATCTGCTGCCCCCCTCTGCCCTTCTGTGACTTTTTCGAGTGATGAGTGACTAGAGGCGCCGCGTTGCACTTGAAGAAGCCTCCCCCTTGCCAACCTCAGACACCAGCCCTTTGCCTGCTCAGTGTGTGCCAGAAACCTGGCTGCACTTTTTTGGCAGTGAGCAGCCATCTCCTCACTTCCTGAAGGTGAAGAAGGGCTCAGCCTGGAATATAAAGCATAAAATGGGAAAGAATCAGTCAGATTATACCATGACAAATTGTTGTTTTTCTAGAGAGATAAAAACCCACCCTATGTTTGATTCTGAGTGACATTGATCTGTTTGGCACCAGCAACTTCTCTGCTGGAGTCACGAGTGACTACTCTTTAAGCAAGTACCAGAATTATCTAGGCTGGCATTACAGTTCATCACACTCCTTGCTTTCTTTAGGCAAAGTTGAAGGAAAAAACTGCATTTGCACTGCACATGCCATCAAAGATCTCAAAGAACATGACTTATCCTAGCCCACATGCCAAATCTGAATCGGAGCCAGGGTCAGAAATTCTCACTCTCTCTCATTCCTCCAGCCAGGATAACTTTTCTTCAAGGTCAGCTATGACTGTTGCCATCAGAGGCATGCGACACTGTCAGCACCTTGCCACACATGCCAGTTTCAGACTCCCTGGGTTTTACCCATAGCTACTGAGAACTGTCTATAGAAGAGGCTGCTAAAAAGAAAGTTGAAGACTGTTGAAGTCTATTCTAATCCACAGTGTCTATATTTATGCAGCCCGTGTCACAGCAGAACAGAGAAAATGTCACTGGAACAGTTTTCTTTTTGCCAACAGGCAAGAGGTTTAAAAAGAGGCAGTAACCTCTATTTGATGATGTGTTTCTACAAATGTTTAACTTGCTATTTCATTTAGAAATCATCTTTAATGTTGATTTGTATTCCTGGCAGTGAAGTCAGGAGGTTGGCAATCCCATTCCTTTTCAGTCTGTGCTCTGACTGAGGCAATAACGCAGATCAAAGAGAAGGAGTCTTACAGCACTCACATTTTATCATCTCAAATGTTTTCAAGTTCTCACTCTGATATTCATGGGCAGATTATGTAACTACTAGATTTATACTTCTGAAGGCCACATAGTAAATGCTGAAATGTTGTATCATTAAGAGGAGGCATTTGAAAATAATTGAATTGAATAAAGGAACAACATATCAAGTAAACACTTGACACAAGCAGCAATGTTTTCCTGGAGATGTCATTTTGCTCCAGTCTTTTATAGGGTCAGCCTCTTGTTTTCATGCCATAGAATATAAAATTAACTGTATTTTATCATACATTCTAAGTCTTGTTTTTCATCTAAATATGTCAAGCCGACATTTTTATTGCCTTAGTAATTGATAAATATTCAAGGATTTGAATTCCATCAATAAGAGTTTACCTAACTGATGGAAGCAGAGTAAGCCACAGACCTTCTGTGGCTTTTTCAGAGGGTAATATATTACAGTTCATTCTCTAATGGGTCAGAAGAATATGAAGACTTGCTTTAGTGCCTGCATTGAGCCTCCCTGCCCATGGCTTTTGTACAGTATCTCTTGAACACTGATAGATTTAGTTGCCTAATGATTTGGGGACTTTGACAGCATAGCAGCTCACCCTTTTTAATAAAAAAGAGAACAAAGGCAGGCAGAGGTTAGCAGATCATAGCATCACTGGGGTTTGAAGAGACCTTTAAGCCTATCTCATCAACCCAGCACTATCACTGTAATCGCTAAATCATCCCTCTGCACCACATCCAGACACCTCTTAAACACCTCCAGGGGTGGTGACTCCATCATCTCCCTGGGAAACCTATTCCAATGCCTAAAATGCACTGAAGGATGAGAGAACAGACTGAGAGCAGCCCTAAGGAGAAGGACTTGGGGGTCTTAGTTGATGAGAAGCGCAACACGACACAGCCATGTGCAGACTGGTTGGGGCTCTGAGCAACCTGGTCTAGGGGGAGGTGTCCCTGCCCACGGTAGGGAGTTGGGACAAGATGATCTTTAAGGTCCCTTCCGAGCTGAACCTCTGTATGATCCCACGCAGTGGGACAGAACCCTGATGTGCTGCCAGCCAGAGGGCACAGACTGCTGGGCATGTCCCCCTCTGCACTGGCCCTGCTGCTGTGAGCCACTGCCAGACACACAGACAGGCTGCCAGCATGTGCCAGAATGGGCCTGCATGGGGAGATCACAGAATCACAGAATTGTCAGGGTTTGAAGGAACCTCTGGAGACCATTTAGTCGAACCCCCGCCAAGGCAGGGTCACCTAGAGCAGATCACTCAGGAAGGAACACGTCCCACGTCCAGGTGGATTTTGAATGCCTCCAGACAGGGAGCCTCCACAACATCCCTGGGCAGCCTGTTCCAGTCCTCTGACACTCACTGCAAAGAAATTCTTCCTTATGTTAAAGTGGAACTTCTTTTGTTTTATTTTATGGCCACTGCACCTTGTCCTGTCGCGGGGCATCATCCTCTTGGCACCCACCTTTGAGATATTTATATGCACTACTGAGATCCCCTCTCACTTTTCCCTTCCCTAGATTAAATAGGCCCAGCTCCCACAGCCTTTATTCATGAGAGAGATGCTCCAGTCCCTTCATCATCTCTGTTGCCCTCCCCTAGGTACTGTCCAACAGCTCCACGTCTCTCTTGTACTGAGGAGCCCAGAACTGGACACAGCACTCCAGGTGTGGCCTCACCAGGGCTGAGCAGAGAGGTAGGGACAGGTCCCTCGACCTGCTGGCCACAGGTTGTGCTGAATGCACAACACCAGGAAGCCACCGGCCCTCCCGGCCGCCAGAACATCCCCGATTTCCCAGGCCCGGCTCCCTGGCGCTGGCACGGGCAGGGGAGCGCCGCCGGCCCCGCCCCCGGGCGGTGCGGCCCTGCCGTTTTTATTCCTCCCACCGGTGGGGGCGGGCGGGCGGTCGGTCCCGGCGGCGCGACCTTCCCGACCCCTCCCGACCCTTCCCCGCCCTTCCCCTCCTTCGGCCGCGGGGCCTCCCAGCGTGCCCCGGGGGAAGGGCAGTGTGACCTAAACGAGACTGATTTATGATTACTTTAAATTCAGTGAGGTGACAGAAAAATAATTCAGCCTGCTTCATGCTGTGCTGTGGGTTAGATCAGCGAACCCAGAGCAGGCCCGTGGGAAGGTCGGGCTGAGCTGGGAAGGGCTCCCTGCTCTGCACCTGTCCCATGCCAACCATTGTGTTGGCACCACAGCAGGAACAGAAGCCGGAGTGGGTGGATACAAGTCCGGGAGACTGGGACTGCCGTTTCCACCAGCAGTGCTCCTCACTCACACCTGTCTTAACTTCACATTCACGCAGAGAATTCATACTCGGCTCTGAAGCTGAAAACTTCCTGAGAACATCTGGAGGGTGCAGCAAGTGCAGCCTGTCGTGCTGGGCACTGCATTTGCACAGACACTTATAAAGGTGACATGATGGCAGAAAGAGCAGGGAGCTGACAGCCCGTGGAAGAATGAGTGGTGCTTTATCATGACAGTAAATCTCTTTGCACTATCGCTCTGGGGCTTTAGCAGAGTCAGGCCATGGAACACACTTAATCTTTGTATGTTGCGTATAAAGGAAACAAGATAAAATGGTAACTGTTTCTTCTGTTTTTCTCTTCTTCATGCTGCAAAAAAATCCCAAAAAAACAACCAGTGGCCAAGAGCAAATCTAAGTAAGTGATGGTTTTCCTCACCAGTTTTTGATTACTGTTATGTTGTATCTTTACAAAATGTTAAGCTTCTCTAGATTTTTCTTTAATATGCCTGAGAGAATTCCAGTCTTTGAGTCTAGCTGCATCCTCTTAGCCATTCTGTATGCATGTCTTCTTACAGGTAAGTACAGAATGGTGTGAAACTCTCCCATGGGTTCTGAAATTGGAGCAAAGGCAGATTTTGTCCTATGGGCTGTCGCATTGAGCTCAGCAGTAATCTCCAAAGTGCCCTGCACGGGGTGGAGCACATCTCTGTGCTCTGTAATTAAAGACAGGCTGTAAATTATCCAAGTATTTTTCCTGTTGTTCACCTGTCATACCTTTTTAGCTGAGGAGAGTAAACTAAGGTGCAGTGTGGCTCTTTGTTGGCACTGGGCATCTTAGTTTGCCCTGTAGTCCAGCTCAGCAGGGATGTTAGTGGGCTCTGGAAGAAAATTAGTCACAGTCCTCTGACCTGTGTTAAGATTGGAAAGGAAGGAATATGTACTTTGAGCACACCAGTGCTCTTACAATGTGGGCACAAGGAAACAAGATTATGTGGAGAAACTGACTTGCATCCAAAATGCTCTTTGTAAGAAAATTAGCTAGACAAATCCAAGAGGCTAAACTGGTACATTTATGTGAACACATTCCTATCTTCCCATTCCCAGAAGTTGCATTCTGTGTGAGCGTATTATACTTGATACCACCCAGGCCTGGGATCTATGGCCTTTGGAACATTTTCTGTATTTTGGTTTTTTTAAGAATCTGCCCCAGCAGAGCCAGTACCAACCACTTGCCACATTTGTGCAGATTGTTCTGTTACAGACTTTCTGCACGATTGTCAGGCTTTTAAATTAAAGCACTTCCCAAGCATGTGCCTGACAGAGAGCAGTTTGACATCTCACTGTTCTACTGTTATCTGTTCATAAAAACAAACAAAGCAAACCAGAAGGTTTCTGCAAGGTGAAAAGATAGCTTTTTAAAATGGTGTTACTAATGTTAATGTAGGGATTTCTACCACACACACCCTTTTATTTTTCATCCCGATGTTTCTTTCTGTTCTTTTACAGTCCCATACGCACTCCAGGAATATTTTCTTATATTATTTATCCTTCTCCACTCCCCTTGGGTTTCTTCTTGTGCCCTGACAGCTTTCTAGTGTTTTCTGCCTCTGCTCCTTGTTACATTCCTTCACAGGGGAGTAATTTTTTTGAGCAAGGTGTATTGTTTAGAATGGGCTTGGCTTCAAATGTGTGGTGCACAAGAATTTCAAGGCCTGGCCACACTGATGCCACTGGTTCCCCCAGAAAGGGGAAACTGCACAGAGGCTTTGAGGAAGTGAGTGAGAAAGGAGTCTTTGTGGTTACTGAAGCTTCACAGCACACCTGCAGTAGTGTACAGGAGAGGACAACAACCAGGGATAATCCCAAGGATATGCTTGGTCAGTTGTCTTCAGGAATCCAGTGTCTTTCTCTTTATTTTGAACTCAATAGTAAATTAGATTGCAAAGCTGAAAACGAAGAGCGTAAGGAAGTAACTGGTCAGAGCTGTACAAGTGAAGAAGAACAGGTTCATTTTGACAGACCATTTTGTGTTAGGAACAGGAAAATACAGGAAAATGGAAAATTAGCTGAGATGTATCCATCTCTTCATTGAAATAGATGATGTAATTTACAGACAGGTTAAAGGGTTTAACATTTCTTTTGAAACTTCAGAAGATGCCCTCTGTCTGGGAAGTTGCTTGGATCTTGGCTTACTTCCAGACTGGGGTGTGGAGCAGCTTCCTCAGTCTGCTGCTCCCGCGACACCGCAGTTGCTGCCAGCCTGCCCCGCAAACCGAGAGCCCTCCCGTGGGGAAGGGGATTCCCCTGGCTGGGTTAATATCAAGCTTTTTATCTCTAGCAGGATGGATGGTGCCAAGGGGTTCTGCTTCTCCTTTCGCATGCCTCTTGTGCCAGCCTATCTGCTTAGCTTCCTCTCTGCATGAGGAAGTGATAGTCTGTGATACAGTGTTATCTACAGCCTGAACATCTTTAACTACCGTCATCCTTCCTCTCTTGCCCTTAGCTTTTAAGCCTTAGTGACTCAACTGTATGCTGATTTTCCTAATTTCTTTTTGTCTCTCCCGTTTTTATTCCTCCCACCTCACTGTTTTTAGAGGAGTTACTTCTCTCTAGGCTTGTATCCTGTTGAGGAATTATTTACTTAAACTTGCTGCTGGAGCTTATGGTTTAGTGTTTGTCTGTGTTAAAAGTTAGCATATGTAGTTTTGATACTCCCATCCCTGAAGTTGAAATGAAGTTTCTTATGTGATTGTGCCAAGCTGTGGGTGCTGAAAGCTTGTGCATTGGCCTGTGACCTGGCAGATACGCTGGGCCCTCACTGAGTGCCCGCACACTGACACAGAGACATCCCTTGTGACTTTAGATACATTCTGGTGAGGATGAAGAGCGCTGCAGAGACAGGCTACTGCTTCAACATCAGGAGACTCCGACTGCAGGAAAAACTGGTCTTGCTGAGATACGATCCCATCGGTAAGAGCTCGGGGAAGAAGTCAGCGTGCTTTGTGTGAGCTTCTCTGACTCTGTGGGAGAGAAGATTTGAATGCAACAGGATTTTTCCCATCTAAGCAGAATATGTCATAACATGTTTCGTACTCAAATGACTGTACGCTTGCTGTTCTTCATGACATTCCAGTGGGAAGTAAATGTTACCCTCATTTTACAGATTGTGGCAGTGAAACAAAGTAATGACTTGCCTGACACATCAGAGACTTTGATGACAGCCATGCCACATGTCACTGGCGAAGTCAAGTGACACAGGAGTTCTTTCATTCTGTTTCTTTGTGTGGTTTGCTAGACTGTGCTACCTCCAACAAGCAGGCACAAAGTATGCATCAACAGAAGTGTTCTGTTAAGCTGCCATGGGAGCTCTAGACTAGAAATTTTAACCACCTCTTACAAAATGGACTTTTTCTTCTAAAGAAATAGGCACAGATTCTTCCTATTCCACAAATGATATCACTCTCCAGATGGCAGTTAGTGGATTCTTTTATGTTCCCCTGGTCCTTTCAGATTTTCTCAGTTTAAGAATCTGATTTGTTGGACAGTTTATAGCACCTGCCACACTGTCTTTTGCTCACCCAGCTTTTTGAAATGTGACTAAGGGTTCAAGTTTCTGTTGCTAGCATTAAAAAAGGTGAATTTAATGTTAAAAAGCTTAATGTAGGTAAACTTAGAATTTAAACCCAACCATATTAGAAATAACATAGTGTAGCTAATGCAAAATGGCTTATATATAGTTGTAGAACATAAGAAATTTATTAAGCAGCACTAAGTAGATAATGCATGGCCAGTGGTTATATGATTCAAGCTTATTTTTTCTTAAAATGTTCTTGTTAGACAGCTACCTTTTCATTCTCAGAGCCAAGAGTACAGGAGCTTTGAGAGGTGAGAGAAACCACCAGAGAAGCAATATGCAGTTTTCAAAGGTGACAGAGGTTGTGGCTTTCCTTTTGAATTCCACACAGAAAGGGAATCTGAGATCTCTGGGATTATATTCTTGAAGAAGAAAAATTAATTATTGCATTGAAACATTGTGCAGAGTGATCCTCCAGAAGCTTTGCAACTTGTAGAGAAGTGAAGAAAGAGAAGAACTCAGAACATGTAGTAGGTTGCTGAAGAAAGCTTTGATCTTTGTAGCCTGTAGTAGAACACAAGTGAGAAATTGATGTGAGAAAGTGTTGCATGTGTGAAGGGAAGTAAATTTGAGTCTAGATAACAACTCACATCAGGAATATGTTTGGAAGCATTTCACTTGGCATGTGTTTTCACCTTATGTTTTTCTACTTTTCAGAAACCTGGGACATCCATAGAATTAAGCTTTTTAGTGAAGTAGTGGCAGGATTGCCCAAGTTTCACTACCTCCTAACTGCAGCAACAGAATCTGTACTATCTGAAGTATTTCTTAAAACGAAACTTTTTTGTGGAAGAAGAGATTTTGTTGTGTGGATTGCTCTTGCGCAGCTTTCAAAGGAATTCATATAATGAAACTAACCAAACAGTTGACTTTCAGATGGCATTTTAAAGCTTTGCTTTGCTTTATTTGTAATTTTTGTTTTTTATTAAGGTATTGACTATGCATAACGTGCCCTTGGAGGTTTTTTTTTGCTAACACCTGCATCAGGCATTGTGGTCACAGCCAGTTTGTGCCTCACTGAGAGATCCACAGGACAATTGGTTAAGTTCTCAGTCAGTCTGTGAGGCCAACTGGATCCAACTCATCATCTGCAGTTGTTTGGGCTCTGGAGTTAAGAGTAGTAGAAAGCAGAAAGAACCTATTTTTGTCCCTACATGGAACAGCTGTGACTCAGAATAGTCACACAGAGCAGCTGTTGAGTGTTTTCAGTCACTTGCATTCTGACACTTATTCTCACAGAGGTAAAGTGGACATCTTAGGAACTAAAAATTACATGTGGTAAAGTGAAAGCACCACGAAACTCCTTCAAGAGTTGGTTAACAACAGTGCTGTGCCAGTCAGTTGCTCCACACTCACTTAAGCAGTGAAGGCAGCCAGGAGAAAAGGGACGTGGGCTGGTTGAATTGAATTTTAACACTTCAGACTTCTTAACGGATTCTTTTTTCTTTTTTTTTTTTTTTCCCCTGTAGCAAAACAACGTGTCCTCTTCACAGAGAAGAGAAAAATCCGTTCTGTGTGAACAATGACTGGACTTGATTTATACATGAGAAGAGGATGGTCAGGGGGGAGGATGGGGTGAAGACTGATTCAGAAATCCAGCAACATGGGCTGAGAAGAGAGGAAATGAACTGGGATCACCGTCTCCTGTGATTTGAAGGCCATTGTGAATAAAACAATGTAGAGAGAGAAAATTCTTAATGTCTGGACATAGATCATCACAGCAACATTTATTTATCTTTTGAGTTATTTTTACAGTGCTCAATTAAAAAAAATTAAATAGCAAATCCCATTGTCTGTGTTTTCTATTGTGAAAGAGGCTGTAATCTTCAAAGGAACTATTGTTTCATAAAGCAATAAAAATTAACATTTTCCACAGCAGGAATTCAATGGCAGGATTGCAAGTTTTTCTAACCTACCAGCCACAGATGCAACACTAGTGACCACGAGCTGGTGTCATTACTTGGAGGAGTAATGTTGCACTAGCTCCTTCTGAGGAAAGAAGGAATGGGAACCTAAATGAGTTTTTTTTTTCAGCCAGGTTAGTAGGATGGATTTTTCATTCCTGGGTTTTTGTCAAACATAAGGAAAACAGACAAGGTAGTTCGCTGATGTTCTTGTAAGCTTTTCTTCCTTAATTAGCTTGCCTGTGTTTAGAGCAATGTGGCTAGAAACATTTTTCAAAGTCTACCTCAGTAGCAGTCCTGTCCTGTTTGCAGTTGGAGGGACCTTCCCGAGTGTGGGGAAGCACAGAGTGCAGTGCCACACCTGAGGCACGTGGGCACAGGTGGCCATAGGCTCAACATATGGGGCTTTGTTGTGAGCCAAACACCAGCCCTGGTGTTTGAGCACTGAAGGTGTAGTCTCAAAGCTAATGCTCTGCTTCATGTGCTGCCATTTCACACAAGCAGTTCTGATAAAATCAAGTACAAATCCTGTCAGGAGCCCAATACCCTCCAGGTGTTTTTCTGTAAGCTTCATGTAGTTCAATAGAGCACACTGTGTGGGGCCAGACAGACCTGCCGAGCTGTGTTTGAAAGATCCACCACCCGCACCCCATCTTACTGCTGTAGAATAGGAACACACAGGATTCCTGAAATGAGAAGCAAGAGACTCTGCTGGCCTTTCCAGTCAGCAGAGGAGAACCTCAGTGCAGTCAGGAGAATAATGCTGTCTGGTATGAGATAAAATCAGTACAGCAAGCTAGACAATCAATTAGAAAAGGTCCTGAGGCAAGTCCTTCCTGTAAGGATATGAAGATTGTGTCCCCGGTGCCTGGACGCTCACTGATGCGATGCAGTTAGACTTCCTGATCATTTCCTCCATGGATAAGTTGGGATAGTAGGCCAGGTAGAATGCCAGTGCTCCCACAAAACTGTCTCCAGCGCCCTAGAATAAAATAACAAACAAGCTGAAGTGTATTTGCACAGGGAAACAATTCAGATGCCTTTACCGGAAAGACACAAGTTGTAGCACTGATTGCAGGGGTCAGGAAATTGTTCAGGTGTTGAGTTCAATACACTTGTCTATGCCTAGGAAATTTTGCAAAGTTAAACTAATGCCACAATACTATCCTTGTGCCCAGCTGCTGCGTCAAGGTACACTATAATATTGCTTAAAACTTAAGGAAAAAGCCAAGCAAGCATGCCACTGTTCAGCAAGATGCTGTTATAAACACTGTTTTTGAAACTTCCTGTTGCTGGAGTGTCTGATTTTGATTTCTCAACCTTGATGTTTCATTAAAGCTATTTTTCTCTTATTTAACTTCCGTTTTTTATAAAGGTCAGTGGTAGAAGGGGCAGTGAAAAGGGGGAGAAAAAAATAAGCCATGTGGCTTGTGGTGTCTGTAAATTCCTAGTTGCAGAGGGATATGTTTTGACACTTCCAGAACTTAGCTGTTGTTTATTTAAAAAATCCCACTGTCATTAAAAACTAGCATTGTGTCTATCACATAAATCACTTTTATTCCTGGGGCAAGCCTTGCCACCTGTGCTGAATTTGACCATGGAGGATGAGGACGGTGATATTCACTGGGAACTCTGGCAGCCATGGCCCTCCTGAGCTACCCATCGTTGCCAAGCCATGCCCTGTGTGCCCCGTGGGAGCCCTGGGGAGGCATGGAGTACTTCTGTCCCACATGGGCACCAGCCACACCCCAGCTTGCTCTGACCCTTGTGCCCAGATACCGCTGGTTGTGCTCTGGTCAGCAGGGAGTGACAGCTGTTTGCCTTCCCAGAGCTTCTTAACAATAGCTGTTGTTTAGCTGTTCAGTGCTGTGAAGTGTCCCCAGCAACTGGCAAAATTTAACTTGATTGATGGTCATGATTAACTTGATTTGCTCATTCCAGTCTGCAGTGTTCTTTCCCTCTCCTCCCCTAAAACTGTCTTGATTTCTAAGGCCAGACTGATACCAGTTCTTGTTGGTACCATAAAACTGGTCCTAAGGTCCCTTTTTAATCATACTTTTATACCAGTGAAGGCATTAGACTAGACACACTAGTATTATCTTATTTCATTCCAGATCCAGCATATGGACTACCTTCCCTGAGGGATTTTGCCTCTGTAGTTGTAATAAATAGACCCCAAGAGTCATGCAACAAGAGCAAAGGGCCTGGAAAAACTGTCAAAACAGCTCAGCAAAATTTCTAATGGAAGTTTAGACTAGGAAGTAATATTCCAGTTTTGAATACTAGTGTTTCTCAGTCTTACAGTCTTACTTGCCTTGAAATCAGCTGCATATAAAATCATTCCAGCAAAACAATGCCACTTCCACAGAAATTTGTTTCTAATGTTGCAAGGAGCTGACAGGGCAGAGCAGCATGGGCACTGCAAGGGACCCTAACAGGGGTGAGCTCAGGATAGGGGCCCTACCCCAGGCCTGGCCTCTCCTTGCCCAACCCTGCCACAGTGGCTGTTTGCATTGGTGTTTCCAGTCAGAAAACTCCCTGCTTAACTCTTGCTTGGCCTGGAGTTTGAACGCTGTGTTCTATCAGGATACGATGGAGACCATGGCCTGGCAAATGACAAGTTAATAAGAAAAGCTGTACTCCTGCATGCAGCTGTAGCAGCACCTGTTTCAACAGTTTTGTATTCCTGAACATACCAGGGGCAGGTGAAGGTTTTTATCAATTTCTGTTGGGCCTTTGTCTCCCTTCTGGTTTCCAGAGTGTTCCCACAATGGCAGGTGGAGCAGGAGCAGGTGACTGCTAGTTAAGCATTGCCAGTGTCTTTTGTCTGATGCATAATACAAAAATCTCCATCCCACCTCAGAGTTTGTAATCTAATCACTGCATGATTAATTATTAAAGCTATTTTGGTGCTGTTGTTACAGACAGGAGTAGGATTTCAGCATGCAGATCTGTTCTGCTGTAGCTCTAGCAGGAAGAACATTTTTTACAGTGATCACTGGGAAATTGAAATAGCCAAATATTTTAATGAGTAATTCTCAGCATATCTGGTGTCAAATGGCATAAACTGTTACCTGGCAGCAGCATGGAGCAGAATAGTGTCTTTCTGGTTTTTTCTTTAATAATTGCTGAACTGTTGGCTACAGGAACAAAAAAAAAAGACTAACCACATGTCATCCAGGCCTTAGTCTGTGTGCCAGTGAGATGGAATGTAAGTTCTCCCTGCAATGTTACAATGGCTTTCTGCTCACAGATGATGCTCTGAGTTTGTGAGATGGCTGGGGATGTCCCTTTTAGTGTGGCTGAACAATGATAAGTGGCTCTGAAAGGAGAAAAGGGAGGGAACAGCAGACTCCCATCCAGAATGGAATAAGGCCCCCTAGCATCTTTTTGCAAGAGAAAAGATTACAGGGTGATTGGAGAATATACAGAAGGATTTGATGCCAGTAAACTTTTTCTGAAATCCTCACTTGTCATGCAAAGACTGAAGCAGACAGTATCAGCAAAGCCCAGCTATCACAGACCCAAAGGGTATCATAAATGCAGTTGTTGGTAAGTGAATGTTTTGTGAGGGGGGTTTTCAACAGAGGAGCTGCTGCACTGAGAACAGTGTCATGCATCAGACTGATTATGTAGATACCCTGCTCAGCCTTGCTTCTGGTCTGTGCAGACGTGACTGGTCAAACATGACTGACTAAAAGAGCAACAGCACAACTGGTTCAGCTGCAAGGTTAACTGCAGTAAGAGCTATTTTTGGCTTACAGAAACAGACCTTCCTTCTTTGGTATTGTGGATTAAAGTACATTGGGTTTGGTAGATTCAGAAAAAGTTTGCACAGAGCACTAGAAGGAACAGGCTCAGAGTAAAATCAAGATTACACAAACACTGGAATAGAAAATAGTAGATTTACATTTAGCTGTTTCAAAATTGCTCTAAGAAAAATAATTCTAACCTACTTCACAAAAAATTAATTTGAAAATTACCAGTAAGGTGCATTGAGAGTGCCCACTGACAAAATATAAATACAGAGTATGTAATATTTTACATTCTTCAGCATTTGTCTTCCGGGAATTCTAATATGCTGCAGACTTCGAGATAATCCTCATATCCTTGAGTGCCTGGAGACAATTCATTCCATAATTATGAAAGTATAATGTATTTAACCTTTCTGTAAAGCAGGAGATGCTAGTTTGTTTGAAATAAAATAAATGGATTTTAAAATTGTTTGATATGCTGTGGCTCATTCTTAAATACAAATGTCATGGTTTTGACTAATTTTTATGGGTTTGAAGCAGTTTTGAAAACCTATTTATATTCTGTGCCACTAGTCTGTAAGGTCCTTGTTTTCCTGTGTGTCTGGAAAAGGGCACTTTTGTTTCTTACAATCCAGCACTGATTGAGATTGTGTGCCTCTAGAGAAGAGAAAGCCCATGAAAACACTTCTATTTATACCTTAGCTTTTGTTAGTCCTGATTTGTCAGAAGCTGGGTTCACAACTTTAGTATAACTATTTTTATACGATGCTGCCCTGAGAAGCTTTTTAAGGAAAGTGCTTTGTAAGTAGAAACTATATTGTTCAACAGCCTTTCCAGTGTGTAAAGCCTTTTCCAATCCATCATGCACAGACTATTAGGATGCATTTCACTTATACAATAAGATGACTTGCTCACCAAAAAAATTTGGAGGCCAAGAGGCCAAAAGCTGCAGTTCACAGAGAGGCAGCATTGCACTGCCTTGTTCCAGGGTAATCTTTTGCTCAGCCTTTGCCCTCCCAGCCCATCCTCCTGGGCAAGAGCAACAGCAATTATGGAAGAACAGGAGAGGGCTCTGCCTCCTGAAACTGACATTGTTAGTGAGCCTCAGAAAACTGTTGTCAGGTG